TTTCTTTGTGTACCCTATCATTTTTTACTATAAGTTATGCATTTGTAAATACAGCCACCTCTCCCTGCCATTACAGACTGGCTTCTTAAAGTGTAAGACCTCAATAGTCAACCACTAGTCAGCCCAACTACAGATTCTTGGGGCTTCCCAAACCTTTTCTGGAGATGCATCTTCTCTGGGTTTGTTGGTATAATTTCCAGTTTGAAAGGTTTGCTGATTCCTTGTTCAGGAGCTTATAATCCCTTGCTCCCTTTTGTGTCTGTCTGTGGTACTGCAGAGTGTTTGGCACTACAGCCTCTGAGCTCTTGGTTGTTCTCCACAATCCCCAGACATCTGAGGTATGTCCAGTCCTCCTGATGGCACTGAGCTGTGCTGGTTGCTTTCTTCTGATTGCACCAAGCTTTGCTGGCCTCTGTGTGTGGCACTGCCAGATCTGTTGTGTTGCCACCAGCCTCCAAGATCATTTTTTCTCTGTGGCCCCAGGGCATTCAAAGTGTGCTGGTTCCCCACCAGTGCTCCCAGTCAGTCAAAACAGAAACCAGTCCCTCAGGCAGCCCCCCTGAAAATCTGGAATGTTAGATGTACATTCATCTTCTCTTTCCTTCCCCTGGGAGAAACCATGCATTAGGCTTTTGTTCTTGATCATGCTGAGCTGTACCAGCTCAGGGAAAGGGCTGTCACCATGGATGTGAAATGACTTTTCTTATCCATTTCAATGGAGTTGTTCTTGGCTTTAAGCTTGCCTGGGGTACTGTAACTTCTTGTTTCTAGCATCCTTGTAAAATCTTTTTTTTTCTTTTTCTTTTTTTTTTATTTCATCATATTATAGGAGTAAAAATGTTGTTAAGGTTACATCTATTGCCCTTGCCTCCCCTCCCCCCTGGAGTCAGAGCTTTTTAGACTACAAATTGTTGTTATGTTAACGTCTTCGTAGGCAAATGAAGTCAGGGCTTCCTATTCTGCTATCTTGCTGATATTACTCCTCCATGACAAGGATTCTTAAAATGCAGATAGCAAATTTAGAATCTGGCATCTTCACTCTGGATTTTACATGCGCTTTACCTGAGGAGTTACAGCAAAAGGATTTATTGATAACTCAAATAGAAAAAATAAATGAAGGAGAAAAAAAAGAAATGTAGAAAAAAGATAAAGCTGTAGAGAGTTTTAAGAAGTTTAATTGGTAAAAGCTAAAGCCAAATAATCTTAATATTTTGCTAAATGCAAACAGAGTTAATTTATTTAATTATGGCTTATCAGTGCAATGGACCACTAGGCAACCATTAAAAAACTACTTGAAATTTTGCTAAGAGGGTAGATTTTAAATGTTCTCACCAAACCCCCCCCCCACCAAAAGAAAAAATATGGAGGGGGAAAAAAAAAAGAAGATGGTCATATGTAAAGTGATGAATATGTTAATTAGCTTGATTGGGGTGATTATTTCACAATGTATTCATATCACATCATCGATTGTACACCACATATAATATATTTTTTATATATGCACACAACATTTACTTATCAATTATTCCTCAATAAAGCTGAAAGAAACATAGGAAAATACATCTAGTAAAAACAAATTTATGTTTCTCCTCTGAAACCTCACTAAAATAAATAAAAGTATTAGTCCACTGAGACAGAGAGAAGAGGAGAAGGAGCAGTGGCAGGTGATGACTGTTGTCAGCAGACACTGTTGGGGCTGGAATGTGTTTTCATTGGGGTAGATACCCAGCAACTCAGAGGCAGCTGAAACCTGACTGCTGGGTGGGAGAGGCCATCGGGCCAGCCCCCACAACGCTCAGGAATTTGGGGTGCACGCTCCTCTGCACACCAGAGTGCAGGAGGAGCTGATGACAGAGGATGGCAGGAACTTCTGCATCTTAAGCAGTGAGAACGCCAGATTGCCCTGTGCACCATAGCCAGGCATCTTCACTCCCAACCCCAGGTGGGTAGAACCAAGGTCTCAGATTCCAGAACGTCAGCCACAACCAAGTCTGTACCAACACAGGGACATGTGAAAATCCACATGTTGCATGAGAGCCTCAGGACTTGCTCCCTAGACCCTGGAAGACTAGCTCCGCCTTCAGGCAGGAGGCTGAGCATCCAGCCCCCTGGTGTGTAAGGTGCGACCCAGGAGGGAGCTCTGCAGACAGGATACCTGGGGAACCCCAGTGAGCTGACCAGATTTCTGCCGAGACACCAGGAGGGATCCCATTAGCATGTGAACAGAACCTATCCACAAAAATACACAGATTATAAACTGTCAGCCAGGGATTGCTGGAAACTTGAGGGAAAGTCCCAATTGCTATACAGAGGCCAAGACAGAGAGAGAGAGAAGGATCTTAGAGGAAAATACAATGCATAAAGCTGAAGAAAGTGAATGTGAAAACATTTTTTAAAGATTTAAATATTAATAATAACTTCAATGATGAAAGAAAAGAAATAGGAAATAAGACCACAAGCTATTTAAAAAATGTATAAAAGGGCTCTTGGAAATTAAAAGAACAGTAACAGAAATTTTAAAATTCATAGGAGTTTTACAGTGAAGTAAAGAAAATTTCCCAGAAAGAGGGAACAAAATTAGGCAAATATTCAAGAAAAATTAGACAATTGGTTTAGAATGCCCAAATACAACTAATTGAAATCCCAGAGAAAGAAAACAAGAGAAAACAGAAGAAAGAAAAAGCTGAAAAGACGAACGAACACTAGAAAATTCTGTAGAATTAAAGCACATATAGATTGTAGGGGTCAGTGAATGCCCCAGACAGTGGATGAAAAGGGACCAGGGCTTGCCATCATGACATTTCAGGGCTCCAAGGAGTAAGAGAGAAGCCTCCGAGCCTGCAGAGGGCAAGCAGATCCGACGGAGAAGATTAGCATGCTGTGGTGGTGGGTGTCCCGCTGCACACTTGTCCCACTTTGAGAGACAACTGTCTCCATGCTAGGTTTCCATATGCAACCATACTGACTGTTCAGTGTAATAGAAAAAAAAATGCTTAGAGTTTCAAGGTCTCAAAAATCTTCCTCGTACACATCTTGTCTCAGAAAGCTGCTGGAGACTGTCTACCACTGTAATGAAGGGTGAATTTTTAAAAATGCAGAGGATCCAGGAAACAAGGGAGCAGAACTGAGGAGAGGAAAAGGGAATTTCTAGGAAAGTCAATGAAGAAAAAAGTTAGAAATCAAATCAGTTATCAAGTTCAGGGAAAACACAAAAGTAAAATAAAGAGAAAGTGTGATTATCATACACATTGCACATCTCAGAAGGAGGAAATTCCTGCTGAAGAAAACTTCTGTTTTTCATAATTATATCTATTATAATAACTAGACATGTATAACTAAATGGCAGATATTAATTTAACTAATCTTGTGCTATAATTTTTGAGAAAATTGTGTCTGTGTCTATCTCAAAGAACTAAATCCTCATCTTCTGGAGCAGAAAGCCAATATCTAACACAGAAAACTCAAGAAATAATAAACTTATTATTTAGAAAAATGGAGTAGATGCCAAAAGAAAAAAGTTCAAAGTGGTTATTGCTGGGGTGGGTGGTGACAGGGATTTACTGGTTTTGATGATAAGCTTTGTAGGAGCATTTGACTTTAAGTTATGTCTATATTTTACATCAAATACATTATAGAATTTTAAAGGTATAAGAAGTGGTTATACTATACTGGAGTAGAAGGAAAATATCACTTTTATAAGAAAAAATAAAGACTGAAAAAATACAATATATGCCAACCATTAGTAGTTTACTCTGAGCGTTAATAAAATGATTATTTTCTTCCTTTTACTTGTATATTTTAAACTTTTTTTTTGCAATACATGCATATTACTGATAATTTTTTTTGAGACAGAGTCTTACTCTGTTGACCTGAGTATGAGTGCCATGGTAATTACTGATAAAAATTTTAAAAAGACTATAACCCCCCCATATACATGTATGTATATACCATGTCCAGCACAAAAAAGGAAGTTGTCGTCCTTGGGTGGTGGAGCCCTATGTTCAGATACACGTGATGCAGGTGTGAGTTAATAGACTAACGAGCACCAAGGCCAGGAGTGAGGAGGCGGCTGGTGGTGCTGGTAGGCGACCCCCATGGCGGGCCCTCGAGAGATCAGTGAGTCTTTGGACCGGGGTGAGAGACTGTGCTGTGAGCTCCCGAAAGGCAGGAACAGCACGGCCGTCGTTTCTATCCTTTGCACATCCTCTGTGCTGCTCGCAGATAATTCAGAGCTCTTGAAATGAATTTTAATCAACGAGAGTGAACAAATAAAAACTTTGGCTATAATGACGAAAAGAGGAGAATTGTGCAGTTATTTGGAGATGAACAATGGGAATCAGCAAATTCAATTTTACAACCAAAACAGATTTCATCTTCAGCACTTAGAACTGCCCAGTGTTGACAAAGTGTGAACTTTAGAAGCCATGGATTTTTCGCCATTAAAGTCTTTGAGCAGGAGCTGGATTTCTGCTCTGGGTAGGAGACTGGTGTGTCGAGTGCTGCTCCCCGTCCCGTACACTGAGGACCGTGGTTGCGGTTCTGGATTCAGGTGGTCAGCCTGCAGGGATTAGCAATCCTCAGTCCTCTCTGCTCCGGACCGGGAGTGCCGGAGGAAGGGGAGGAGGCTGAGGTCTGAGCTGCCCCCATCCATCTTCTGTGGCATGATCACAAATCACGGCAGCCCGTGCTGTTCCAGAGGAATGCTTATCTTGCATTTAATTAAGGGCAAGGGCTCTTGTCCTCATTTGTGGCACAGGGAAGTTCAGCAGCTCTCTAGACTTGCCTGGAGTCCTTAGGGAGTCTGAGCTCCCCTGCCCATGGGGCCTCATGTGCGAGCCACTCCGGGGAATACCCCGGCCCTCACATCGCTGCCTGCCGTGGAGGACCTGGGGAGGGAGTGGCCGCCCTGTGACAGCACCGCCTCCCACCAAGCTCGCCGTCCACGTGCATGTCACCCAGCACAGCCCTAATGCTGCCTGTCTTTCCTTTGCGCCTCATAGGTATCTCTGGGGTCACAGGTCGATTTACAGAAGAAGAAGCGGCGGGCGCCAGCTCCCCCTCCGCCACAGCCACCTCCGCCGAGTCCCCTGGTCCCCACCCGCACGCAGGACAAGGAGGAGAACAGGAAGAGCACAGTGGGTGAGTGAGGCCTGGCAGCGCTGGGATGCTTGCTTGGCCTGGAATGCCAGCCCTGCTGTTAACTCCTGCAGCGGCCTTGTCTGTAGTGGCATTAACCCGGAAACCATTAATGCCAAAGAAAGAGTCTTTGAGATGAACAGCTGTGAGTCGCTGCCTATCTTACTGGCAATATCTGGTGGAAATCATGTTAGCATTGAGAAGGCGGGATGGTGGGGGAATGGCTGAAGCTGGGGAGAGTGAGTGTGAGTATCACCAAGTGAGTGTGAGCACGTGAGTGTGTGGCACACATCTCTGATGGCAAAAAGAGTTGTTCTCAGGACGCCATCAGGGGAAGCTGCCTTGAAGGACACCTGGCGCTGGACGGGCAGCGTAGGCCCCATGCTGCAACGTATGATGAGCTGACATCAGTTCAGTTTTGACCATCCTGTTTGCAATTGCTCTCCCCTTATATACCTGGCATATATGTAGCAAAGACTCTGATATTATTTGAGAAAAAGAGAACCCAGAGGAAAGAGGATGGAATCATAATGTCTCTGAACAGAAAGAGTTCTGTCAGCTTGTCAGACCCACCCCTGTGCCATAGGCGAGGTGGACAGAGGCTAAATGGCAGAGGGCCCATGACCTGGGGGTAGTTAGGGCTATTTTAAAGTCATTCAGTATCTGTTACTTCACTTGAGTAGGAAGAGAAATGGCTCCCGCAGAGAAGGCTTTGGAGAATGGCCGTCTGGGATTCACACCTCCTAAGCCTGACACCCCCGAACACCGTGCCTCAGGTTGTCACCCTTCTAACACCCCCAGACAGCCATGCACAGTGCTCTTTAATCCACTCAGTGCCCCCACATTTTGCCTTTGACCTAATGCCCGTAGCCCCAGGAGGGAGAGTGCTCTCGAAGATAAGTGGTTGCACTGTCAGGATCTGAACTGTAGCAAGAACCATTCGGCTGTTGGTCAGCACTCCCCCAGTCGACACTTCACTTTAACGCTGCAGCAGTTCGCAGCCTGTGATCAGTTATCCGAAGGAGCCATAACCTGCATTGCTGCCAGTTCATCCTCTTCTCCAAAGGAAAATACTCTCAGATTTAAAGGAAACATCCCCAGTGGATCATTAAAATAAACCCAGTTTTCTCCTATTTTGTGAGGAGATCCCCCATTCTCCCTTCCAAGCTCTATCCCCACACTTTGTAAAGGGGCAGAAACCCTTGGTTGACATTCTAAGTACCAACTTCGGTGGCCGTGTAGATAAGGTTCAGCAGTGACACCCTTCAGGCCAGACAGCCCATTTCAGCTCAGGGCGGGACCCCTGATTCAGCCCTGGAGGACTGTCCTCATGTCTGAGGCGCTCGGGGAGCCTGGCCACCCACGTGGGGTCAGCTGGTGCCCATAGACCACAGTGGAAATGGGCGTGGATGTTTTAAAACTGAAAACCATAGGAACAGTTCCCTCACCAGGAAACATTATAAGAGTATGAATAATAATCATTCACTACAAATCTTTCTCTCTTGTCCATAGATAAGTGTTTGTGAGCCTTGAGAAGTCCAGGAGCTCCCTTCCTTCTGATTTGAATGTTTTGGGGGGCAGGGGATGGTGGAGAGGCCTTAGTGGCAATTTCTTGTCAGACTGCCCTCTGTCAGGAATCCCCATGAGTTAAAAATATGCCAATAGCACTACAATAGAACTTTTAACTGAAGTTTAGCCTTTAGATTGGAAAAGAACAAAAGTAGACCCCACCCACAAACAAAATATTGAGTGACTTTTCTATTTAGACATTAAATATAGAAAGAAAAATTTATTTTATAACTTGCACTAAAATAGTATCGTAGCTAGTTAGATTTGGGTCTTGACCTACATTTCTTGGAGTGGGGATTTGTCCTTGCCACGTGCCTGCTCCCCGGGGCTCCCCTGGGGGCGCCAGCTCCAGGGCCTGACAGCACAGCCCAGGCTGGTCCTGGCTTATTTGCCCTTTGCAGGGGGAAATGATGTTGTGATACAGGGAAATAGTGCTTTTCCACATCTAGAGAGCTATCGGCAAGAGAAGCAAAGAGTGGATATATGTCTTGATGAAGAAATGGTATCTCTTAATAGTTTTGTTAACAGTCTGGTAAAGGGCACGAAGCATGGAATCTATTAATTAGTAGAAGATTCTAAACCGTAAAGCTTGAAGAAAATGGTTTTAAAAGTAATAATAGTAACCATGAGTCATGACAGTAGTGATTCATGTCATTTATTACATTGTCATTGACTTTCAAAAACTTTATGAGCATAAGAAAGCCATTTTCAGACAAGATCAGGCGCGTTCAGGGAGGATGGCGTGCACAGAATCCGCTCCCGCACACGCGTGTAAGCACGTCCCGGGTGCGGCCAGACACGGGCTCTCTGCCTGCCGGACAGAGGGACTGCAGCCCCTCCTCACTCTCCCTGCGGCTCAGGACGCTCTGTGAAGAAAACTTTGACAACTACTACTCTAAACAGCCAAAGAGGCTGAACGTGAAAATGGGCTGAAAGGAGATAAGCTCAGTCAGCCGTCAGTCTGTCCGCAACAGGTGAGTGCGTACAGGAGGCAGCGAGAGGAAGCTAAAAACAATCCGTGAGGCTGAGAACGACCAGCATGAATACAAAGAGCTCCTTTAACTTGGCAAGGCTGTTCAGGGGCTCTTAAGAATAGCTGTCAAGCCGACACTGTGTGCAGTTGTGCCTGCCCGAAGCAGGCGTGTGCAGGTTGGCGGCGGGACAAGCGGGGCGGGGTGCAGGCGAGGCCGGGGTGCAGGCGAGGCCGGGGTGCAGGCGAGGCCGGGGTGCAGGCGGGGCCGGGGTGCAGGCGGGCTGGGGTGCAGGCGAGGCTGGGGTGCAGGTGAGGCTGGGGTGCAGGCGGGGCTGGGCGCGCCGTGGGCTCCGGGGATGGGCTGTGCGTGCGTGTGGCCGGCGTGGTCCCAGTGAGGCTGGGCGCGCCCGGGACAGGCCGCGCGGCCCTGCGCGAGGCAGGAGCCTGCGGCCCCGTCTGAAGTAACCCTGTTGATCCCGTGTAGGTGGTGGACGGCAGGTGCCGCAGAAGCCCCCGCGAGGCGCCGCCCGCGGCCCGCCCCAGCTGGTGCTGCCCCCGCCCCCGCCCTACCCTCCGCCCGACGCAGACCCAGGCCAGGCGGAGCCTCTCGGCTCTCCCGGGGAAGGCGCTGCTTCCAGGGCCTCAGACCCGAGACCCAGACGTACGTGCCTCTCGCTCGTTCGCGTCCGTGCTGCCCGTTCATCTCCCGTCCGCTGGTGTGGGCTGGGTTTCCGGACCCTCGCTCTTGCCTCTGTGTCTGTGCCTGTCCTTCTCAGCTGTCCTCCTCATGCTGGGTGCAGTGCGTCCGCTCCGCAGGCGCGCTCGGTGCTGGCCAGCTAACCAGCTCACCTGCGCCCCACTCCAGCGGAAGCCGTGCCTGTGGGTGGAGACAGCCAGCGAGGGGCTGGTGCTCCTCGGGTTGGAGCTCACCGCCAGCGTCTGCGGGGAGCAGCTGAGGGCATGAGGGCAGAGGAAGGCCCAGCCACGGCAGAGAGAGGAGGCAGGAGGCGCGAGGGGCAGTAGAGCCACAGGCGGGAAGAAAGCAAGTCCGGTGTTCTGCCTGTGGCTTCGGCCGCCGCGCGGACGCTGCGGGTCAGGCGAGCTGTGAACGCACGAGAGGGTTGTGCCCGAAGGCTTGGAACGCTTCCCTTGTACGTGAGCCTCTGGCCTGCAGCCAGCGGCCCGCGTTGGTACTGCCGCCCTGCCGAAGGGCCAGCTGGAGCACGGGAGGGACAGAGCGGAACCAAAGCCCCGTTTTGCTTCTGTTTCTCGGCTCACGCGGTCTGAGGTGGGGCTTTCCTGCTGTTCCCCGGGATTTCTTTGGACTGTAGCAAGCACCATACATAACGTTCCCTCCTCTCCACGGGTAATAGTTTCATATATTGAACTGTGTATTCAGATGGCATCATGTGTGTGCCAGGCCTGCGCTGAAGCCCCTGGGGACGTCTGTGCTGCGCGGTGACACCTCCTGATAAAGCGACCCCACCTGGCTGTGTGTGCTTAGCAGCGGAACCCCAGTCTGCACCCAGCCAGCGCGCGTGCCCACTGAGTGTGCACAGCCTGCTGTTAGCGCGTGCAGACTTTCTGCTACTGGACACTTTCTCTTTTTCTGTCTTCTTTGGGATGACGACGAGCTGCCTGCCAGCTTCTGGGTAAAGTCAGTTAATTGCTGGGTGACTTACTGACTTTCTCTAGGCAAGATAATCCCAGTTCATTTTATCTGTCTTCACAAATACTTCTTTTCCACCCTTAAAATACATTTGATCGTCTTGACATTAGACATGCCTCTGAATGCAAATGAATTTTATGGGGTATTCAGAAATCAAGGGTGAGACTTACTGGTCAGAAAGGTGATGGCTGTGGCGTGGATGGTTCTGGAGCATGTCATCGCTGGAGGGAGTGGAATTTAAGCCCCACACACCAAGGCATTAGCTTCAGTGACCACTCCCGTGGCTGTTGTCGTTGCCCACAGAACCTGCTCCCCAGGGGAGAGGTGAGGGAGGAGTTGCCGGATGGAAAGAGTGAAGCCGTGCACGGCAGTCGGCAATCAGGGGCAACTGCCGCAGGACCAGTGGCTTGTGGCAGGCTGCACGCGGTGGAAGAGCCAGGCGAAAGGCCCGTGCACTTCCCCACACCTGACTTCATGCAGAGTCTGGGCCCTTGCTTCTCCTGGCCCTCTTGTGTTTGGGGCTCTCACTGTTTGGGGGGGGCACTCACCAAGGCCTGTGGCAGGTGGAGAAGTCGTGCCTCCTCCTGTCTCTGCGTAGGTGGGAAGGCATGTCCCATGCTGCTACAGGCTCCCCACAAGTCTGAGCAGAGAGTGGACGAAGCCACAGGCAGAAGACCAGACTTGCTTTCTTCTTGCCTGTGGCTCTATTGCCCCTTGTGCCTCCTGCCTCCTCTCTCTGCCATCGCCTGGGACCTCCTCTGTCCTCAGCTGCATCCTTCACCTTTCCACTCCTCCGTCCCTCTCACACCTGCAGAGATGCCAGCAATGGAGTGAAGCAGGATGGGGGCAGAGGGGACCCTGGGAAGTGTCAAATGGCCTGATTTCAGCCTCCCTTTCTCAGAAGCGGCGGGGCGCCCTGCTGCCCCTCTGCTTCCTGCCGCGCTCTCCTGCTGCTCTGCCGCACGCCATGCGTCCAGCTCAGAGCTTTTTGTTGCCTAGTTAGCAGAACTGGCCTACCTGTTGTTTGTGGCTGGACAAACCAGGATGGCTCGCCCAGGTGTGCAGAAGAATGCAACTTGCCTTCGGACTTAGAAATATTAAGGAAAATGAATCCTTTGCTTTCATTCATTTTATGTTTTTACATATTGTTGAAATCCCGGTGCTCCTTTCACCTTCCTCCAGGGAGACGTAGGTTGTTGGCGTACCAGTGTTGGGTGGGAGTGTGTGTCCCCGTGGAATAAGCTGCTGCCCTGCGTTCCCAGTCACACTTCCGGCTATTTTTAGCTGTGTGGAAGTTCAGGAGACACGTTTTTATGCCCCCTATAGCTCTTGCATATCTCCTCCTGCGTTCAGTTTTAAAACTGTGTTCCTTGTACAGGAAATGCTGTGTTTATGGTGGGAACTTACCCTGAGTACCTACAGGGCCAGGGGAGCTCCAGGCATCTCGGTCTCCTGTGGCCCACACCACGGCGCTGTGGGGCAGGCACCGTCACGGTCACCGTGGGGAAGCAGAGCCAGAGGCCTTCCCACCAGGCGGTGCAGCCGCGTTTCTGAGGATGGGATCTTGGCTCCATTTGTCACCCCGCAGTTTCTCCAGCCACACAGACGCCTCCCGGGGCACCTCCGGCCTTCACACATCACTGTGATCCATGCAGCAGGCGCTGTGCTCCACTTAGGCTGCTAAAAAGGAGAAAATACACTTTCTTGAAAACCAGCAAGCACAGCTAACTCTCAGAAGATAACATTTGAAAAACTAATAGATAACAAATTTGCACGTAAATGTGAGAGGTGATGGGAAGGCATAAATCCATCCTCTGCAACTCTAGCCTTGACTTTGATCTCTCCCACTCTGGGCTTCTGCCCCGAATTCCCTTGTCTCCCCCAGCCTCTGTAGGACCCTGACCAGTCCCAATCCTGTCGGCTTCACTGGTGTTCCCCTTTGTGGCTGCCAGCCTGAGGACTGAGCCCAAGGATAAGCCCTCATTCCCATCTTAACGCTGAAACTGTCATTAGTGCTCAGTCATGGTCATGAAGACCACATTTACCTGGAACAAAGGCAAAATGGAGAAGATTGTGTGTTCATGTGTTCAGTGCCATGTATGTCTGGGACTCGTGAACACTTTTTGAACAAATGTACAGTAGTCAGGAGTTCCCAAGAGTAGAGTTACCATCCACTCGCGGGGCCCCCTGTACCCAGCCAGGTCCCCAGCTCACCCTCTGTGGGCGCAGCCTGGGTGCAGTTGACAGGAGCTCTCTACGTGCTCACGCCATAGCTGAACAGGGAGCTCCCTGTGCACACGCTGCAGCTGGCTCAGGAGCCCGTCCTGGCAAGCCCAACACCCTCCCTGCGTTGTGACTCTCCCGCTGCACTCTAGGCATTCATCCTTTCCTTTACTCACTACACTACCTCACACCTGCCTGTTACGTACCTTCCTCCACTAGTTTAAGCTATTCAGAGGCTTTAACGTATTAATATTCATATTAATATCCACCCTTTAAATTGGGGCCTGACACATCAAATGTATTCAATAAAGAAATATACCACGGAGTCTCTTGGTTGAATCCTTGGGGTTTTCTAGATATAATATCATATCATCAGCAAAGAGTGAGAGTTTGATCTCTTCTGCCCCCATTTAGACTCCCTTAATTCTGCTCTCTTATCTGATTGCTGTAGCCAGGACTTCCAGCACTATGTTGAATAGAAGTGGAGATAGTGGGCAACCTTGCCTTGCTCCAGTTCTAAGTGGGAATGCTTTCAATTTTCCCCCATTCAGTATAATGTTGGCTGTGGGTTTGTCATACATGGCTTGTATCATTTTTAGGTAAGCCCCGTCTATGCCTATTTTGTTGAGCGTTCTTATCATGAAAGGGTGTTGAATTTTGTCAAATGCTTTTTATGTTTCTATAGAAAGGATCATATGGTCTTTGTTTTTGCTTCTGTTTCTATGGTGAATTACATTTATAGATTTGCATATGTTGAACCATCCTTACATCTCTGGGATGAAACCTACTTGGTCGTGATGGATTACTTTCTTGATAAGCACCTGGATTCAGTCAGCTAGTATTTTGTTGAGAATTTTTGCATCTGTATTCATAAGGGATATTGGTCTGTAGTTTTGTTGTTGTTGTTGTTGTGAATCCTTTCCTGGTTTTGGTATCAGGGTTATGTTGGCTTCAGAATATGTCTTGCTGTGAATTGTAAGTATCAAATATAGTGGACTACGCTATTCCATTAAGCTTCATCAAACTGAGATATTTTCTAGGCTAAAGATTGTCTAGTAACCAGCGCTTTAAGTCTGTCTGTAGGATATTCTCAAAAGAGCTGATATTGCATCAAAGACCTGTTGCAGGTATATTTGAAGAAGATGTAAAGTTCTCAGTGGTATTTGGCATCCTGACCTTTGCTTCCTGCTTCTTCCTCAGTGGTTCCCTAGTCTGGCCTGTAGGGTAGGATGTGCTTGTTTGTGTGGGGAGCACCTATCACGTGTCCCAGTGATTCCCCATCTCCCAAGTTCACTCCCTCCTATAGCCCTCTTCCCTTGAATGTGGACTAGATTTAGCAACTCATATCTAATGAATAAAATATGGCAGAAGTAGTAGAATGTCACTTCTCATTCCAAGATTAGGGTAGAAAAAAGACTGTGGCTTCCATCATGGGCACCCTCTCTCTCTTACTCATGCCGAAGTAAACCTGCTGCCCTGCTGTAAGCTGCTCTGTGTAGACCCGCAAAGCCAGGCACTGAGAGGTCCTCCAGCCAACAGCCAGTGAGGAACTAGGCCCTTAGTCCACTGACCCTGTGCGTAAGTTCTGCCATTAGCCACTTGAGTGGGGTGGGAAGCATTTCCTCCCCCAGTAGAGCCTCCGGATGAGACCACGGCCATGGTCAATACCTGAGCTTGAGTCAGAGGCATAGCTAAGCCGTACCTAGATTCTAGACCCATAGAAATTGTGTGATGTTAAAAGCTTATTGTTTTAAGCCTCTAAGTTTTGG